TATTTCCTGCTTACTGGGCAAGCACACTTACAACTAGAATCTGGAGCTAAAATGAGTGTTGTCCTCTTTGCCATGGTAGTGTTCTAACTATGCCTTGGGGTACTTACACTGAGCTACACACCTACCTGGCAATCCTATTCCATCACAATATATGCAGCCATAGTTACATAGTTACATGCCATAGCTTTTTGAGCATGTTCAATAGAGAACTGCAGGTGGAATGATAAACCCCACATAAATGACAGTTTTTGTCACGTAAGCAGCTATATTCAGACACATAAAAAACACTTAGATATGTAAAGGTGAAATAGGATTCAGCCTTCAGTGGCTCTATATTTTAAAAGTTATTATATGCTTTTATATATGCACACACATATACATACACACAGCTGCTGCTGTTATGATTCAGTGGTAGAATCCTAGTCTGCCATGTGAGAGACCTGGGTTTGATTTCTGGACACGCATATAGCTACAGCCATCAAGGTACCAGATGTCCGGACTTGATTTGGCCTTTGGATACCATCTCAATAGTCTAAAGAGGGGATGGAAGGTCTGGACAGCCTCCACTCCTGCCTAGGCACATGTATTGAAGGTCCTGGTGACTCTCATTCATACATATACCATGATCCAGAAGGATTTATGGTTGCCTATTATACATATATCATATACACACATACTTTTATACAATTAAATATATATTTTGGACATCTTAACTTTTTTTTAAACTTATATATTTTTAACTGGAATGTTTAAATACATTCAGGGAAGAATAACTTACCAGCCTTATTTGTACTTTGTTTTTTGTTTGGGAATGTTAAACAATACACATACAAAAAAGAAATCTCTTCATGAGTCACTTGAAGGCAACCATGGGTAGGATGCATGGAACACAATACCATATAACCATTTCAGTAGTTTAGACAGGAACAGCTGGATTTTTAAAATAACCCAGCTTCGGTTTGAGTACCTAAATAAAGCAGTCAGGTATTCAAAAGTGTTCAGTATTCAGCAGATTTCAAAGCTTTCAGCTGGAACTGTTGTGTACTGAGAAGTTTGAAACTCTAGTCACTTTACTGAAAGTGACTAGATCACATTTGCTTAGAGCAAACTAAGACTAAGTGTAGCCAACTAAGTTTGCAGGGTGAATTTAAATTCATCCCGGATTCTCTGACTCATTTAATTATAATATTTGGATTAGACCTCCATAGGACAGACTGAAGTGTGTGCTTCTGCTCTAGCCCTACGTTTTCCAAGATCAGAAATAGCACTTTTACACGTGCTTGGCAGGGCAATTACCACACTCCAGCAGGCTAATTAAGTCTGCTCTAACATGTGCTCCTGTGCATTGGAGCAGCTTCTGTGGTCATGTGTAGGCACTCAAAAAGATCAAATCTACTTAAAGGATCTGAAAGTGCTTTACGAACATGGAATGTCACAAAGTGCCTGCAAGTTACAATATCAAAGCTAATTAATATTGTAATTCTGGTGGTATTTGGAATCTGTTTATGCAACATAGCTGTATTGTATAGAGATATCCAAACTAGCTAGACATGAGTTAGCATCGCTGTTGCAAGCAACGTAGCCCCATTAGCATAGAAACCTATATTAGCCAGGTGGAATACTGTGCTGAAGTGGCTATTAATGCTCTCATTACCAAAACTAGCTTATTTAGCTAGCCGAGGTGCTGCATGGTACCGCATGTGCAGACATCCCCTCAACCAGCTGTTCTCTTTGTTTCCACTTGCTAAATCACAGTAGAAGTAGCTGAATATACATTACATGGACTATTAATAGGTATTTAAGAACTGCCACAGGCAGATTATGCAGTTGGGACTAAGAAAGCATGAGATAAACTTTCTATTCAAATGCAGCATATTCTGAAGAAGTTTGCCCCTGGTTATCACATTTAAGTGAGTTAACTATGGCAGAGAGGTTATAGAATGATTGACAGCCAAGTGAATTCATCCATCCTGACTTCCTTTCCTCTGTCCTATCACACACTCTCCTTTTTAAGCAAAACTATATTGGCGAGAAAACCACAAAAAGGGTAAGGCTTATGCATCTGAGACACATTTTTAATTACTTGGGAAAACTTAGAGACAGCTGTGTGAGAAGGAAGTAGGAGAAGATCCAGAGGAAGTGCAGTGGCATGGCTGCACCCCGTTTCAGGCTGACCATGCTGCTGGAGCCTCTGGGTACTTCAAAAAAGTCCTGAAAGCAGAAGAGAATCCTCCCTTCCCCTCTGTCCTCAGAAACATCCCCTCCATTATCCTTTCCCCACTTCCCTCCCTGCAGCACCTTTCCCTGCTGTTCCTGGGGCAGGGAAAAGCTGATGTTACTCCTCCAGCTGCACTTAGCTGGGAACAGTGACAGTGAGAGCAGAGATGGGTGGAAGTCTGAGTTCCCACTCCCTGCACCTGCTTCTAGGGGACTGGGAATTGTGTAGGAACCCAGCCCCCAGTCCATTGACATCACTGTTACTGTCACTCGGTACAGCCCCTACACAGCCTAGCTGGAGAGCAGGAAGGCCTTTGAAGTTTGCCCCACCACAGGCACAGCAGAGAAAGCAGTAGGGATAGGCAGAGGAGCATTGGGGGGGGGGGGGGGAGGGGGGGGGGGAAGAAGGGACATGCCTTTGAGCATGGAGAGGAAAGGAGGGTGCAGGGAAAATTCTTACCTTCTTTAAAAAAGTCCCCAGTGGTTCCTGCAGTCTCATCCGCCCTGTCCACATTGCTGGGTTGTGAGGGAGGCTAGAAGAGGGGGTACAACCACCCCTGCAGATTCTGTGGCTTCTCCTCCACCCCCTTTGCCAAATCCTGGATCCACCCCAGCAGGAAATATTAAAGTTATGAAAGGAAGAGAACGCACAGTATAGAAAAGGAGGGCCCAATCATAATCTTTCCTTGCTTTGCAGCAATTCCCTTTTCCACATTAGTACTGGAAAACTGCGTATGACTCTGGGCAGCCCAGCTCTGCTTTTCAGCAGCGTGCGCTGCCCATACATGTGCTGCTCCGTTTTTTTCCCCCCATGGGGAAAAAAGAAACAGTAGCGTGTGCACAGGCAGCATGCCTTTGCAATGCAGAGAACACCTGACTGTGTGGTTATGTGGCATTGCAGACGTGTTTGCAGTGCCACATACTACATGGCCGCGCTTGTTTGGATGTGCCCACAGAATCCAAATCCAAAAAGGCTACAGTAAAGATGTTCAGGAGCCTTCAGATCATTAACCTACTGCTGACGCTCTGAAACCCAGAGATGAAAAACTCCAGAGTTGTAGCAGGGGCCATCTCCAAAACATCCCCATGCTCCCTGGTTCAGAGCATGCAAAGCAGAAAAAAGTAAGTGGTGCTTATTTTTTAGTCACAGCCATCCAACCTGCATGGAGCACAGACATATTTGGTGTGTATTTTAACTACTTAAGGAACCAATTACCAGAATATTTAAAGAGGAAAAAAATTCATACCATTGATAAATAATATTTAAAAGAGCTTCAAAGAAGATTTTGCTTTTAGACATCATAGAAGTTAAGCACCTTTGATTTGGAAAACTGTTTATAACTCTTCTTCCCTCATCTGTCTTCCCTTTAATATGCTCTGTATCAGCTGAAAAGTGTTAAATTCCCAGAATTTCCATAAAGCTATATGCAGTACAAATTTTGCTGAAAACTTTGTCTTATGTAACTGGTTTAATCTGCTTGCTATATGTAAAGAATTTCCCAACATAGATTATCTTTGGTCTAAAAATAACTCTTCTATTATTGGCATTAGACTCTCCATATTTCAGACTGTTACATATTTCAGTTTGTTATATCTTTCTGTAATAAAGGACTGTTTTTAGCACCCAATTTTATTTGGACAAAAAATTCTACATTTACTCTGAAAACCATGGAGACTTCTGCAAAAGCATGAAGACTATCTGTCCAATGATATATGAATTACAGGTCATAAACAAATTGTCCTGAACTGAAATCATAACTTTTAACAAACATTTATTTGCATTCCTGTTACAAACAGCTTGTTACAACCTTTTCAACCTTTCTACATAGTTTAGTTGCCTTAAAAATGCATTTCTTTATGTGTAATAGAAATGGGATTGCCTATTATGTGGACACTATAAAATGTATTACGTCCTTCTTGAGCCACTTCCATACATTTAAGCACTTTGATTTCACAAATAATACAATGTTTAAGTATGTTGCTTGCCATTTATTTAGAAACCAGAACTAAATATATGGTTACATATATTTGAAATGAAAAATTAAATCCTGGCATCACTGAAGGCAACAGCAAGACTCCCCTTAGTTTCAATAGGGATATAATTTTGACCAATGTTTTTTGGTTATGAATTAGTAACAGATCCATCCTTATAACGGTGTCTAACCAACTTTCATGATAAGCTAATTTAATTTGCACTGAATTTGCAATATATTTTAATTCTTAGAAGACTATCCAGGCAGGTGTCTTTCCAATAATATTCTTACAATTTTCAGTTTGAGGTTAAGAAATAGATAATGTCCTGTGGGTGCATTCTGAAAGAAATAATCACATTTATATTCCAGTGGAATAAAAAAATATTTTTTCATAGGAAACTTCTTAATAAAACAAATTAAAAATTATGCCCATCTTTTAGCAACATTTCCTCAGACAGACTCAACATATGTATATGTGAAATTTGTTGGATAAGCCCTAGTTCAAACAGACATAAGAGCAAGATTCACATATTGAAAATGTACAGTATATTCCAGCTTTCATAGTGCCATCTTTACTGTTAATATACACTACTTTTTCAAAAAAATATAACATTTTTTCTTAACATTCAAGAATAGAGAAATCTGGCATTAAATAGAATTTTGCTGACCCAGTCAAAACTTCAAGTCGGACAAAAATATTATTAAGATTTTAAGGCTCAAAGTGCAGACTGCATCCATTGCTCACATTAACATCATTTGCTCTACTGAACCGC